TACAATTACAGTAAAGCGATGGGCGATCGATAGGATACCATTCACCACTGCTGTCACATCCGTCAGTGTAATGTTAGAGGTGTTATGTTCCACAGGGGCAAGTGATGTTGGCTGGGAGACCCTGATGAGGACCTGCATATCTAAGGCACAAGATATTATAAACTATCGGGTTAGAATGGTTCCCTTGTTCTATATATCTTGTCGTAAAACAGGACTTCCATACATCACGTGGTCAGGCTCGAGGGCGAGTGTCAGTGAACTCCGACAACTTGGGACTTTGGGACGTTGCAAAACAACCAACCCATGATTACTCTGGTGTATGATGCTATTAACAGATGTAAAACAAAAACAAAAACAACCCATGATTACTCTGGTGTATGATGCTATTAACAGATGTAAAACAAAAACAACCCATGATTACTCTGGTGTATGATGCTATTAACAGATGTAAAACAAAACCAACCCATGATTACTCTGGTGTATGATGCTATTAACAGATGTAAAACAAAAACAACCCATGATTACTCTGGTGTATGATGCTATTAACAGATGTAAAACAAAAACAAAAGCAACCATTACGACAGGACATTGACTACTACATGTGCATGGGAACTAAAGTGCCGGGCAAGCGAATGTGTGTTGGTGGCTAACATGAAACAGGCAAGAAATCGTTAATACAGTGATGTATTTGAGACGGGTATTATAGGCGATATTACTTTCATCCAATCATCCCATCAAGGAGTATTTCACAATAGGTGATGTGCACATGACGTCTTAATGGAAATGGGAGTTGCTATTTCACACGACACGTCTATAAGCAGAGTGAAGAGTGAATTTTCGTAGGCAATGAGTCGGTACGTACAATTGGCTCCATATATATATATATATATATATATATATATATATATATATATATATATATATATATATATATATATATATATATATATATATATATATACTGAACCGCAAAAGAGACGTCACCCCAAGTAATTGCATTGATGGGGTTTTCAAGCGTCGTAATCCATCAACCAAAGCGCCGTTGCGCTATTTTCACGCATGGTCACATACTGAATCATACTTGGTACGACTGGTATTCCAGCTGACAAGAAACCAATAAGTTTACATGGACGTGTATATGTTTTGTTTAAAGAGTATTTCAAAACTGAGCAATCCTTGCATGTTGTCACAATTTCCAGATAATGTAAACCATGAATCATTGACAATCAACTGCCAATTCGAAAGGGAGAGATGTGTAAGCATTGGTGATATTCACCTAACTGTAGACAAAAACAATAAAAATTATCGAGAACATACAAGACGCTGTGAAGACTCTCAATCCGCTACTTCCAGTCCAGAGATCGCCACATTAAGTAATGCAACAGATAACGGCAGAGCCTTCTCCAGATCCGATTATCTGGGATAAGCACTTGCCTCTGGAGAATCTGGAAAAGACAAATGCCACGAATGTCAAAGAACCAGCAAAGACTCCTACGTCCGTTCTTTGAGATGCAGATCATCACATTCCTTAATTTACATATTTTACCGCTATTTTGCCTTTTACGACCAATGAAATCTGTTTCGTCCGACAATCGAGACCTGTTATTAACTGGTGTTTACGTTATATATTTAAATATCATGCCGCTCTCCTCATCAGCCGTAGATGATCCAGCCTCATGATCATATCTCAAACTATTATTACACCCACAACTCATAATCTGACGCAATTGTCTCTCTAATACATGTAAAGAGGATACATTCTGAGTGATATTTAGTATGTAAATATCAACCGAGTCTTCGTTCACCGGTCCTTTTTGAAGATTTGCCGAAGCAAATGCCGATTAACGAGTCGATGTTGATATTTCTCATATTACAAAATATGAATGGTGATCCATATTTATCATTTCCACCTGGCAGGGTTCCTCATTCAGAAACAAATACACCGACATTATTGAAATTTCACGGTATATTATGCGTAGAGATACATTCTTTGCCAATGGGAATCAAAACGAATAACCCTATTTCGTTTGGGAAAATAATATTCTCGGATAAGTTAGTAGTAAGTTCGAGGAACTATTCGATGAAATATATGATTGAAAACTGAGGCATGACAGTAATCACATTCATTCTGTTGTACTACATTAAATCTGTGGTGTAACGTGACAACTAGTCATTCACAAGCAGCACTCTCACTTGCGGAACGTCACGCGGGCGGAGAGGTCACAACAGTATAGTGTCGTAAGTGTCACTGTCACTTTCCATGCATTGACCTATGTCGCGAACACCTGGTACCATCACTAGGTGATGATGATTCATTTGCCCGCCATATAGTCGGAATCGTAAAATGAATTTCTTGTTGCTATGGAAACGGATTTGTTTAGTTGACTGGAACTGGACTAAAACAAACTGGAGGTATAACAAGATTAATCGTTCTATTTACAGAAACAGTTACATAACTAATAAACGCGATGGGATGCTGACACCACAAGAAAAAGGGTCAATTTGAGATTGATGAGGGTTGTTTCCGGGCGATTTGAACATTGCAGGCCAGGACCAGTATCATGTGGCGTGGGAGTCTCAGGAGCAAGTCAAGCTGGGAGGTGTCTCTGTTCTCTGTGATGGGATGCTTCCTGAATCTAATTTGAAAACTTGCTGATCATGGTTTTATGTGACAGTAATTATTCTCATCCTGGATGTGTCTGCAAGCAGTACATGGTCACACACAGGGATTTGTTGGTCGTTTTGACGTCCGGAGCCTAGCTACTGTATACCTGTGTGGATGGTGTGACTTTCATCGTACATATCCGATAAGCCATTGGTCGCAGGATTAAGGTGTGACGAAAATGTGTTCTGACCTACACCAACTCGGCACCATGCGTCAAGAAATTGGTCATGGGCATGTTATAGGTAGATTGTAACGCTGAAAGTCAGCTTAAGTCTCTCCCTGTCTCAAGTCAGACATCAGAAAATGGCTACTTATAGCTAGATACACAAATAAATGGGTGCAAAATGGCGAAAAAACAATAGATTAGTGTCACAATAATCCCCTCACCGCCTTCCTCTACTGCAACCTTCCATCATGTTGTTTGTGTGTTACCACTCCTATCACCTCTTCATCCTAATACATTTTCATCACAAACTTAACTTATGTGAATTACGTTTCTTATAATAAATGAGTGCTTCTGCCTCACTGCGTTCGATATTAAAAATACAACATTGTGACGATATACTTATTTACATTATGATTAGCTATATTTGGGATGTTTGTCTCTATAATATCATATCTATCAAAGAGGTGGGACTGCTTCGGACCTTGCGTCGGGACCTTGCGTCGGGACCTTGCGTCGGGACTTTGGGTCGGGACCTTGCGTCGAGACCTTGCGTCGGGACCTTGTGTCGGGACCTTGGGTCGGGACCTTGTGTCGGGACCTTGCGTCGGGACCTTGCGTCGGGAGATACTTAAGGAGATACTTTAGTCACTGGTTAGTCTGGTCGAGACTCAATTATCTCCGGGGCGGTTGGGTAGCCTCATGGTTAAAAAACATAAGCTCGTCACAACGATGGCCCGTGCTCTATTCCCAACACAATGTGTGAAGCCTATTTCTGGTGTCCCCACCGTAATGTTGCTGGAATGTTACTTAGGGCGGCGTAAAACCATACTCATTCAGTCGATTCTTTCAGCCCGCCGTGATAGGGCTGACTGTGGCGTATAGCACCATCCATTCACTTACTCACTCATTCACAGAGAGATAATACACTGATCGATATTCTAGAGTGAGGGAAATATCTCCCTCGGGTTGATAGCGTTATGTTAGTCATTCAGAATAAATGTGAAGGACAATCGTTTACAAACCTGCACATGGAAGTTGTGTTGGTATTGATTGTCAGACAATATACCCACATGGAACTGGAACGTGCACAACTGAGTGAATGCGTTTACCCCGTGTCAACAATATTCCTGCAATATCACGACAGGGAATAATATGTTTCATTTATTGTATTCATTTGGAGAATTCAACCTCGGTTAAGAACGAATGTTTGACCATTGAGGCTGTCAAGCCACTCTGGTACCTTTTTTACCAACAGACCTACGTATAATGATGTAGGATGCAACATTGATACTTTTACGACATGACTGCAAATGTGGTTACATAGATCAGGGAATACAACATCAGCGTCATTTGGATCCAACCTGAAGTCAGACCTTTCACTCCGAGCTTATTTTGTGTCAAGAAGAAACAAACCGCACCCTGGGATTGAATCTCTGACATTCCAATCACAAATACTAGCTGTGTGTGTTTCATAGCAAAATCAGATGTCAACTTTCAAAACGATTTCGCCTTAACTACCTCTTAAGATTGTCAAGATGATCTGTTGTTGTTTCTATTTCCGATCAGGAAATGTCAGCCTAAATAACGATAACGGACAAATATAAAAGCGCGAAAACATTTGCAATATCATAGGAAATCTGTACGATTGCTCACTGTACGATTCTGACTGCATCTTGAACAAGTGTTCATGAAGCGATGATACCACGCGTCCTGTCCCAGCGGTGGCACAAACACATGCAAACCCAAGTCAATTGTCGACCTGAATAAAACACAGATACAAATGGCACAAGTCCAAATAGGGAATTGAATCAGGCATCGTTTGTTTCCTCAAATACAAATGTCCTGTCAGTCCTGCACACAACTGGGCGTAGATGCCACATGCGACAAGGTGGAAATAGGTTCTGCCATTCTCCATTCCGTGACCTTTTGTGTCAGATACAGGAAAAAAAATATGTGTTAATTCGAATGCTTCGCTCGCTCGTTCCAAGAATTTAGAAGCCAGAACACTAATTGACGTCATTAGGAAGTTCAGCTGACATAATGTGGAGGGTTTGTCAGATGTGGATGCAGAGATATAAAAACGGCTTAAAACGTCTGATTTTCTTGAAATTGAATTTGATCTAATATTTATTTTTATTTTTCAGAAAGAAACATTCTTCTGATCACGCCATGTCTATTTCAACGCAGCAGGCTCTGGTTACAGACATATATGAAAACATTACGTCGTCCATGGAGGTGACAACCCTCGTGTATCCCCAAGAGTACCACAGACTTAACGCAGTGATTAATTTCCTCAACAGGTACTATATCTGGGTAATATTCGCTTTTGGATGTCCAGGGAACGTGATGAGCATCTGTGTCATCGCTGGCATGTCAAGGCGAAGATTAACAACATCGTTTTTCTCCGTGGCAGTTCTTGCCGTCGTGGACAACCTTACCATCATAATGAAGATGGTTGAAAATCAGTCTCGTAGTCACAAGATGTTATCATTTGATGAAACTGGATGTCAGTTTTTGTTTTTCCTTGGTTTAACATGTGCAGCATTTGCAAACTGGATTCTGATAATAATATCAGCAGAGAGGTTCACGGCAGTGGCGTTCCCTATGAAGGTGGCGCTGATCTGGTCCTTGAGGAGGGCGGTAGGCATCATAGTTTGTGTGTTTGTGTTCCTCGGCCTCGTCCACAGCCACATCTTCGCCTCAGTCACCCATTATGAAAACTACACATGTACAGTGAAGACAAGGTTTCACCAATACATCCACCCTTACTGGTATTTCACCAGCGCTACGGTTTATGCATTCATCCCTGCTACTTGCCTCATTGTGTTCAACGTCCTTATCATCGTGTTGCTCAGGAGGTCCTCCGCCACGCGACGACACATGCTGTCCGAGAGTGATGCTTCCAACGTGGAGGCCCGGCGTCAGGACCGGCAGGTCACAATCATGCTCGTCACCGTCGCTGTCACCTTCCTCATCCTCACCATCCCCAGATGTGTGTGCGTCATCGCCTACCACAGCATGTGTACAGGCAACGCAGACTTAATGTGTACTACTAGGAGACAACTGTTTGACACTCTTACCACCCAAATCGCAGACACCAACCATGCCATTAACTTTTACCTGTACGTTCTGACCGGGAGAAGGTTCCGAGAAAACTTTCTAAAGCTGTTTAAATGTAGACAGATGTTATACATGAAAGTGTCAAGTAGCAACACACACATGTCGGAATTGCCTCTCACAGAATCCAGGATTTGAAAGTAAGTGATATCTCTTATGTTTGTTTCTTGTTTAACGCCACAGTCAGCAAAATCCCAGCTATATGACGGCTACCTGTGAATAGTCGAATCTTGGGAACCAGTGATTGATATCATCAGCAAAATGCCACGCAATCAGCCAGGTTACCGAGTCTGACCACCTGATCCATTTAGCCGCCAACTCGGTCCACGCCTCGGCTACTGGGGGACTTAATCTCAGGGAAATCTAACGAGTTTTACGAGTATGCAGTCCAGTGGAAAGATAGCATTTACATGACATACAGTGTTAAGTTTCTCCGTGTACAACTTCTTCCCCAGGCAAGACCTTCCAACCTTGCCATTCAAGTCTACTTTTCTTGGTTCGACTGTGGCTCCACAGCGTGTAGAACACGAGTTGTGTCCCTTGTGATAAAGACACGATATCCAGACAGATCGATGTTCTGATTTCGAATGGTTTCACAAAGATGACTAACATAGCAGGCGACCTCGTCTATCAGATTTAGATAACGAGGAGAGTGAAGATTGACATATTGCCACAGTCATGACATCTGGTACAATAACAGAAACATACACATTACACAGTATCAAGTGACACTGCACATTGCCATAACTTGAAACGCCCAGCGGGGGGCCTCTAAAATTAGCACGGCATCTCTGTCACTGCGATGAGCGCTCTGTCGTTCAAGTTAAAAAGTTGCACTCAAATACATTAAGTATTTGGGCGACTTGATTGAAAACTGTCAACCACATCGATATATTTGCCTTTGCTTAAGTTTTGGAATATTTTCAGGTCACATTCGAGAGGCAGCGCTGTGGCAATAGCAGCGACCACGGTTTCATTTTATTCAATGTTAAATGGACTCTCGATATGTGCGATAGTCCTTTCATATTTTAGCACAGAAAAGTAGGCTTGAAGGGCAAGGATGAAAACTATACTTTGATGTAGTTAGTGTGCACACTTGTCTCTGGAAGATGAGTGTATACAGATTTCGTTATTCTCCACTATTGCAACCAAACAATAGCATTTTTATTATATATCAGTCTTATTAAAGTAAATAGGTTAGGACACCTACGAAGATTGTAGTGTTTGCCTAGATTAGTTGTTGTTTTGTCTAACATCTGAGATCAGTCGACATTGTCAAAACGTTCCGAAGCAATTTAACTCGAATTATTCAACTTTCAAACCAAAATATTCCCTTTCCCAAATTAGTAATATTACAAGGTAAAGGCAATATGTTTTACTTTTGGATGGCTCAGAACTTTTAATTCCTTCGAAACTTTCCAAGTTTTGAAAGTGATATCACGGTATTGATAAAAATTAGTTTTTTCGAAAACGTGTTTATTAACAACACTGAGAGGCCATAGGCCTATAGAACATGCTACATAGTAATGGGTGTATATACATTTATAACACACTTTTAGCTTCTTAGCTTCCGAGCATGCGATATGTACAATGACAGCTTTTTCGTTATGACTACATTCTTACTTGACATTAATGTAACAAATTTCTGTAGACTTGGACAACGGATTTAATATTTATCAACGAACTGTTTTCTGAGTTTAGTATACAGCGGACAAAGTAGTTAGAAATGGTATTCACTTCATACAGTGTTTAATTCACAAAACTGATAAATTCTGTGTTCTCTCAAGGTTTTCTTGTTTGTTTGTTTTTTGTTTAACGCCTCACTCAGCAATATTCCAGCTATACTATGGCAGTTTGTAAATACCTGAGTCTGGATAAGACAATCCAGTGGTTGAAATCATGAGCATCGATCCATGCAAATTGGAAACAATAACAAATCAACCAAGTCAGCGAGCCTGACAATACGATCCCGTTTAGTCGCCTCTTACAACAAGCATGGGTTATTGAAGACCAATTCTAACCGAGAAAAAAATATTTCAGTTTATAAAAGACATTATTGGATTTGCTATACTAAATATTCATACCGATACAAATATTACCTATGATCCTACTAATACAATTTCATTTACAGGGACTGGACGTTCACAGTTTAACATTTGCCGCTCTACATTATGACACCGTGAACAACGACGCATACATACAACCGACGGAAAAAGCTTTAGTTGTTGTCTTTACTTTGGGGTCCGTCTGGTTTATGTCAATGTCGTTGGGGTGACTAGGATGCGTCGACAGCGTGAATATGTTTAAGCCTTAACCTCGTCATTGGATGCACAGCAGCAATGACGATCAAGTGACGATTGTGTTCTGTCTGGCCACTTGGGTGTCTGGTTGTGACCTGGAGGAGATACCGCACTTTGAGGAACCTGTGCCGGGTGTGATGTTCTCGAGGGTATTGTCTGTGGATTTCTGTTTCTGATTCACAGCAACAGTTGTGGACAGCCATACACCGTGATGTAGGTGTGCACCTGATCGGCACATCAAGCGCTTGAAAACCATGCGGGATATACCTGGATACACCTGGATACACCTGGATACAACTGTCTCGTACACAATAAGGGATACACCATGATGGCCACACACGCCCTGTATATATACCGTGGGGGGAACATCTACCTTACATCGATGTGGGATACACCTGCCCAAGACACCACAAGGGATACACCAGTCTCAAACACCAAGAGCATCCGCATCCAAGAGGGATACACCTGTCCCATACGCCAAGCAGAATACACCTGTCCCATACACCATGCAGAATACACCTGTTCCACACAACAAGCAGAAAACATCTGTTCCATACACCATGCAGAATACACTTGTCCCATACACCATGCAGAATACACCTGTCCCATACACCAAGCAGAACACACCTGTCCCATACACCATGCAAAATACACCTGTCCCATACACCATGCAGAACACACCTGTCCCATACACCATGCAGAATACACCTGTCCTATACACCATGCAGAATACACCTGTCCCATACACCATGCAGAACACACCTGTTCCACACAACAAGCAGAAAACATATGTTCCATACACCAAGCAGAATACACCTGTCCCATACACCATGCAGAATACACCTGTCCCATACACCAAGCAGAAAACACCTGTTCCACACAACAAGCAGAAGCCACCTGTCCCATACACCATGCAGAATACACCTGTCCCATACACCATGCAGAACACACCTGTCCCACACACCAAGCAGAATACGCCTGTTCCATACACCATGCAGAATACGCCTGTTCCATACACAATGCAGAATACGTCTGTTTCTTTACACCATGCAGAATACACCTGTCCCATACACCAAGCAGAATACACCTGTCCCATACACCATGCAGAATACACCTGTCCCATACACCATGCAGAATACACTTGTCCCATACACCATGCAGAATACACCTGTCCCATACACCATGCAGAATACACCTGTCCCATACACCAAGCAGAATATACCTGTTCCATACACCATGTAGAATACGTCTGTTTCCTTACACCAAGCAGAATACACCTGTCCCATACACCAAGCAGAATACACCTGTTCCACACAACAAGCAGAAGCCATCTGTCCCATACACCATGCAGAATACACCTGTCCTATACACCATGCAGAATACACCTGTCCCATACACCAAGCAGAATACATCTGTTCCACACAACAAGCAGAAAACATCTGTTCCATACACCATGCAGAATACACCTGTCCCATACACCATGCAGAATACACCTGTCCCATACACCAAGCAGAATACACCTGTTCCACACAACAAGCAGAAAACATCTGTTCCATACACCAAGCAGAATACACCTGTCCCATACACCATGCAGAATACACCTGTCCCATACACCAAGCAGAATACACCTGTTCCACACAACAAGCAGAAAACATCTGTTCCATACACCAAGCAGAATACACCTGTCCCATACACCAAGCAGAATACGCCTGTACCATACACCAAGCAGAAGCCACCTGTCCCATACACCATGCAGAATACACCTGTCCCATAAACCATGCAGAACACACCTGTCCCACACACCAAGCAGAATACACCTGTTCCATACACCATGCAGAATACGCCTGTTCCATACACCATGCAGAATACACCTGTCCCATACACCATGCAGAATACACCTGTCCCATTCACCATGCATAATACACCTGTCCCATACACCATGCAGAATACACCTGTTCAGTACACCATGCAGAATACACCTGTTCCATACATCATGCAGAATACTTCTGTTCCATATACCATGCAGAATACGCCTGTTCCATACACCATGCAGAATACTTCTGTTCCATACACCATGCAGAATACGCCTGTCCCATACACCACGCAGCATACACTTGTCCCATACACCATGCAGAGAACGTCTGTTCCACACAACATTCAGAATACACCTGTTCCACACAACATGCAGAATACACCTGTTCCACACAACATTCAGAATACACCTGTTCCACACAACATTCAGAATACACCTGTTCCACACAACATTCAGAAGGTGATCTCGGGGGTTAGAGTTAATAGGCATTTGTCGGATGTCATCTCAGAAGTCTAATCAAATTGAAACCAATGATCTCTTTCTGGTTCGTTACTGTCAAAACCGACAGGTGAGTGAGTGAGTATGGTTTTACGCCGCTTTGAGCAATGTTCAGGCAATATCATGACAGTGGACACCAGATATGGGCTTCACACATTGTACCCATGTCGGGAATCGAAACCGGGTCTTCGGCCTGACGAGCGAACGCTTTAACCACTAGGCTACCCGACCGCCCCAAAACCGACAGGTACCACTATAAGGATTGACATTGGCACCTTGACTTTGAACAATTTCATTGAGTAGAAATCAAATTTATCTTGTATTTTATGCACTATGTGTGCAGTTTTCTAAAACAATAATTATAGATAGACACGTGAACAGTGAAAGCTGCGTTTGATATTATGTGACATTGATAACAGATACCTGTCTTGTCCTGTATGTTGAAGTATTTCCTTGACGCTGGGGATTCAAGTCTCGGTCTGTGACACGTGAATATAGCGTCCCGTAAATAATCAAGTCTGGACTAGATATAGACAAACGAGCAATTGATAGCATGAGCAATGTCCTGTGCCGTTGGGGTGTGATGACACAAGTCATCGAGCTCAACCAAACCATCCATGTGGTTGCCTCTAAAGACAAGCTTGACGGCCAATCTATTAATACCTGCAAACCGTATGGGGCTTTTATGTTGTGACACTCCGGACGTAGTGCCCAGGATCAATGCTTGATTGTCGAGCTCAGAAGGTTGGCGCTTTAACACCCACAACCTAAGTCACATCATTGTCTTAATCCTTACTTCATCCAGAACACGAGATCACCCACGTCACTCAGCTTGCAGCTGGTGTCAGAATATTATTATAATAGTCCGCCGGTTAAAGGGTATTTACTGTACAAAGGTCAGCATTGATATATATTGTCAATAAAAACATACTGATTTGAACCAAATAGT